GCAGATGTATTTCCGGCTGTCGCTTGTCTCCGCCGAAAAATAACGTCTGCGAACCCGAGACAGGAAACGATTTCTGTGACGTAATGGTTTTTGTTTCTCTTTTGCCAATCAGATTCCGTGATACAATGAAACTCGAGTGCGGAGACTAGCGACAGCCGGAAATACGTCAGCGTTCGCAGGCTACGTGCGAAGGAAACGTCGCTGGAGAGCCTAAAATCGATAGGTAAAATCGAAGGTAAAATTTAACGGCGTAAAGAGCAAGTAACAATCACCGTACCGCGTGAGAGACCAAGCAACACGTTCATTGCCTGAATAATTCTGATAACCCCGATTGACTCAACGAAGTTCATTTTTTTTTTTCACTTTTCGAGATGCTCGCGCGCTATAAAATGGATTAGAATTCAGGTGGCTCAAAACAGTTTCCAGCACTTAGATTTTGATGGGTCGTTATAACCACTCTTTGTCACTTGATGCTACAATCATGGTAACAAAATACTGCCCAATCATTGGTGAACACGTTGATATCATTTTGGTGACACAATAGGTTACCATAGCAACAGTACGACCTCCTAAAAACACCCTTAATTACAGCTTTGGGGGCTTATAATTCAAAAATGGCACAGTGAATTTTTTTTTATGTTATCAACTTTTAATAAGCATGATAAGACGCAACTTTTGCCGTGGCAAAATTTAAAAAAATTCTGTAGGTAGGGTTCAGAGCCACCTTAAATTTTCGAACACGCTTAAGCCCTCTAGCTGATGTATGTTTGTTTAACTACAAGTTGTGATTTTACTATATGTTCTACTCCTTTTCCCTTAATTTTTCCTCCTAGTTGTCAGTCTTCTATTGTCATTTCTTTTTCTTGCTCGATGCATTGGACGTCACTTTCATTTTCTCTCCACAGCATTGGGCTTTCCGTTGAGCACAGAGGCGTGAACCCTCGCAGTGGCGCCGTTGGCATAAGCACCGCTGAAAAAGGTCCTTTTACCTTAGGCATTTTCGCCGAGTTCTTAGCAAGTTTGTCTCGAGGAGAGCTCGCGCTATCCAACCGCTCTACCTTTGCCAGCTTGTAACAACGTTGTTTTGTTGCATTTGAGCACTCTTCTGACGCAGAAATGATCGAATCAGTCATTTTTGTTCTCATTTTTCTCGCCTTTTGATGATAAGTAGTAGCAGTGGAATGATGCATGAGGTACAACTTTGGCAAAGTGAACTTTTCTCCCAGCTTACACTTTGTTGGTTCATCCCGCGCTAGCTCATTAGAGTTAGAGCTCAGAGTTTTACCAACATTACTTTCCATATTCAGCAACTCCCGCTCTTTTAGTTTCAGCTTATATTTAAGGCGAGTCAGGTTTTCCGATTCCATATCAGGACCGTGAACTCTTGAACTGACATTTCGAAACGTGTTCCGGCATTCCTCGCAAAGGTGACACACTTTTTTCATCGTGGACAATCTCGGACCCCTTTCAAGCATTGAAAAATCGGATTTAACCTTATTTGGTGGTACTTTCTCTATAAGTGGAAGTCGCCGAAAAGACCGAGGATTTGAAGGTATTTTTGAAGTAACTAGTAAAATTCCAGACAGACAGTTCTCGCCCATATGACAGTCTTGAGAAACACCTCCATGAGAACAAACTATTCTCCCTGGTTTGAGTAACTTTTGACTTGTGAGTTGTGGTGTACCATCATCAGCTTGGCATGATGGTGTTCTGTTTGCGGTTCCTTCTCTCCCGGCGGACAAGCAGCTTTTCACGTCACTGCACTCTTGCAGAAGTGAAACCAAACGAGTTAAGTTTCTCTTAGGGCTTTTATCTCCATCGTTGATTGACAGATGGGGTTCAACAATCCTAGCTGTCTTTACACCATCGTTTCTCCAGGGATTCACATTAACAGTTTTCAGCTTCACTGTTTGTGCAAGATTTCCACCGGCTTCCTCTGAAGGATTTCCGGATTTTTTGCACTCAGTTGCATCCATAGCTATTTTGCACGAACAACGTAATATCGTCGAATCCAATTTTGAGGCAATTCTGCCACATGCATCACTGGATAAAGTTTCCGATCTATTCTTCGAGTCACCTGGTCCCTTGCATTTAATCCCGTCTGCTCTCTTTGAAGATTTCGTTTTGCTGGAATTCTGGTCGCACAAAGTCGTGTTCAATTGTGCTGTACTTTCCGAGCCAGTACTGCAGCTGGAAGTTCTGTTCGTGGGCGTATACAAGCCTGGTCGATGTATTTTTGCATTGCTTAGAGCTAATGCAATGCGGGAGTTATTACGTTTGAATTTTCTTCTCTCCTCGACATTTTGAGCTGTAACCTTCCAAGGTGAGGTCGTCGATTCTGTAACTGCACCGGGCATCCTTCGAATTCGTGCTCGGTCAAGGACCTAGCGGTGAGTGTGCTAAGCTAACACGATCAACAGCTGTTGTTGTTTGCAAAACTTCACCTCCACTTCCACACTCCATACCGCGTCTGAACTGAATTAAGCTTTCGTTCAGCGTTATAAGAAACGATGATACGCTGTTTAACTTGTTTGTGGTCGATGTTATGTTGTCACCATATCAAACTCAGTCGTTATTTTGCAAGTAAAATCTTTCTGTAACTATGAGAGTACAGTACGACAATAACGAACGCTTGCATTGATATATATTTATGAATGTGTACATCTCCACAATAGCCTGCGTGACATGAATAACCCGTATTGCTGCTTTTTAATAAAGAACATATTAATTACGAACAAGTAACTGGCCTCTTGAGACAGAACACTGGCTTAAAAAAATGAACATTTCAATAAATTCAATATCAACAGAAGAACAATAAAGCAAACATGTTATCGCACCTTTGAAAACCGGCTTTAAGCTGATTAACAAATTATACGAAACAGGTTAATTGACTTTTAGTACAAATCCAAAATTATACGCTTCTGGGCGCTGCTGTGTTCGCACGCAAATTCATTTCGCAAGCGCACAAACCGTGTAACGAAGTTTTTCATCACAAAACAATTCCACGTTAATTTTTTATTACTTCCAATTTATTTGATCAGCTTTCGTTTACCCGCTGTACACTTAGTTAATTTCTAATACATTTTTATATTCTTAAAAGATTAATCATGTTATAAGTAATCCATTTTCTAGTTTCTAATAACTTTTTAGATTTGTTCAGCAAAGCCGATCCCAACTGTTTAGGACAAAAGTGGTCTATTAAGATTAAAATGCAATTGACACAGTGCGAAAAACAAGTGAAAAGAGCAGACGACGTTTCGGTGTCATCCTGGAACTATTTGCAATACAAGGTTAAATATTATTTTAGTTTTGATATATTATATTATACATGTATACTTTTAACTTTATCATAAATCAATTGTCTGTTGTCCATTAGATTTTGCTTGGAAATGGTGCCAGAATTACTCCGAACTGAACGTCGTAACGATTCCCTCTCTTTGCCTGTATCAGCGTAATGATTTCTATAAATGACTCAGATCCCCCGGTCAGAAGGATCTATTCTTCATCATTCATTTTAGACGTATCAGTAGCAAAATACAGTTGGATTTGTTAGAAATAAAAATGTATAAGTTGTGTTAAGCTTTGGCGCTCGATCAGGCAAAACACTAGACAATCCATTAGACCGTAAAGCTCAATTGCGAGGTCCTTCAAACAATTGTTCTGGCCTTAAAAAGCCGGTTTCTAAGAAACTGTGAAGTCACAGTCGGATGCTGACTTTTCTATTCTGTTATAAAAAAAACGCAAATGTCCTGTTGTACATCATGCAATTGATCGTTTGATTCATCAAACCGAACGAATTCAAAAAGGGATAATATGGCATTGTCTCAGATTTGTAAACTGGTCGGCCGAAGGAAGGCATGAAACAGCAGATATTTGATCATCAGTTAGTTAAGACGAATGAAGGGGTTTTCAGTGAAGACCACCTGACAGGAGAAGCATGCTAGCTTATGCTAGCTAGGGTTTTTCGTTTCTCACTCAAGGCCTCTCGCGGATTCGCCGCGAATTTTCGCGGCTCGCGCTGCCTACCCCAGCTAAACCGCCAGCTTCGTAAGCTACTCGAAGCGTGGCCGAGATCTCAATCTAATACTTGTACAATGAATCCCGACACAGCCAAGCCAATGAACAATTATTTTATAACATGGATGAGGAAAAACTGAAAAACAGTTGCATTTGCTCAACTTTTCTAGTGGCGATTACAGCAATCGTGGCGGTTATATGGACACCGGCCTTCAAGAGGAAAGCGCGAGTCGTGAAGTCATGAACAAAGCTATTGTTAAAACCGGAGAGATAAAATGTGATCTGGATACCCAGCCCACGGCTTTGTAACCCTCATGAATAGATGCTCGTGTTATTATCGATTGTCTTTGAGTGTGTCTATGTAAGTGAGCGTCTGTTCCGCCCTGGCCTCTTAGCTATGATCAGTACTGTTCTGTTTTAAAATTATTGCAGCCCTATTTCTCTAGCCTCTCACGCGGGTTATTTTGGGCAGACAGTACTCCGTTTAGTTAATTTTTAGTTAAACCAAGAGAAAATTTTATCTTGGTTAAACTGATGTGTAAGTTTTGGGTACAAATAAAGCTGTTAATGTTGTGAGTCCCACCTATGGTAGTGGTGGTTTCCCTGGGCTGTGACAACGTGATGTTATGTACTGAAAATCGCACATCAGTGTAACCATAGGGGCCTGTTTCTCGAAAGCCCCAGAAACTTTTCGGGCCCGAAAAGCCATTTTTAGTGTAATCGGTATTTAAAGACAGACAGGTGTACACTCCTGAAACTTCTTGTATGAAGGGAACTCTATTCGTATAAAGGATAGGTGGAAAAAACAGCTCTGTAGTCATAAGGTTTGAGATTTTGCTACAGCTTTACGGGTGCGAAAACTTTTCGGGACCTTCGAGAAACGGGCCCCTGGCACGTAATTTTCTCGTTGCATTCTGGGATAATATCTCTAAGCGGCCGCGTGATCCTAGAAATTAGTTGTGTTGCCATGACTACGTTACGCCAAAACGTTTGTATCGTCCGCCATTTTGTATTTGTGTCTCATGCGTCTCGCAAGCCATTCGAAGTCAAAAGGATTTTATTGAAGAACAAGAAAAACTATGGGATCAAAAGGCAATGCTGAAGTGAATTACGTGCATCAAAATGCTATTTTATGCGAAACGATCAAGAAAGAGCAACGAAATCACAAGTTATACACAAACTACAGTATCAATCCATTCAAGAAAAGTAAGCTGGAGAGTTTCACATGTGACTCTGATTTTTCTTTTTGGAACTAGCTTTATATTTCAAGCAATAATTTTTTATTCATTGCACTTTCTAGTGTACACACTGACCGGAAAACCTAATTCTGTGCACGATTCTGCGGATGGTGAAGAGGACGGTACGTAAAGACTTAAAATTCATTGTAATTGTTATTACGTTCGACGTTTAATAGCAGCGTTAATAGGAGATTGCAAGCGTAAACTCGTGTCGGGTGTCTCTACAGGAAAAACTAAAGCTCAATACGCCAACAAGCTTGTCGAAGGCAGGCTCTAATCTCTAATTATTCCTAGTTAATAAGCTTTATTAAAGAGCTTCACATTCAATGTACATGAGGTGCGGCCATTGCAGTTAATATCCGCACCTCCCCCNGTGCACCTTTAGTCAACTCTATGGAGTCCCCCCCCCCCCCCCCCCCCCCCTCTGTTGAGGTACTTAGAATTTTACCCCCTCAGAAAATTAACTTTTGTACCCTCAAGAAAGGAACATCAACGTGCAGACACACCTCTCCCCTCAGAATTTATTAAAAGATCAAAGGTGCCAGCACACTTGCCCCTTCAGAAAAAGTCATTAAAGACTCCCTCCCCCCTCCCCCTCAGATTTTCTTGTACCTCAATAAGAGGTGTAGGTAAAACATGGAATGGCCCATTAAAGTCTGCATGTATAACCACAGCGTAGAACATTGCAATATGTCGAAGAATCTGCATATATCTTCAAAACTCTACCAAGGTTCCTTAATCTACTTCATAACCATCCATAAGGGATCGTCAACTTATTCTCTTCTTCTTCATTCAGGTTTTCAGTAATGTTCTCAATTATAAAAAGATTTGTCTGAGTTCATTAGAAAGATCTTGAGTATCCTTGAGTTATTTCAGATGAGTTTCTCAGTGATTATTTCATTCAGTATTGTTATTTTTTACCCTTCAGACAATTTTTTAGAAGTCATTAAAAAGTCTAATGAAACACCAGTTAAAAAATTTCAATTCCCACAAACGTCTGCCCAAGAAATTGGATGGAATACAGAGCCGCTGGTGAGTTTTAAACATTTTTTTCGACTTTTTTTGATGTTGAACTACAAATTAGGCAACTTATAATAGTAATAATAATAATAATAATAATGATATAATAATGATAATGACAATGACAATGATGATGATGATGATGATGACAATACTGACGACGACAACAGCGGTGATGAAGATTTACAATGATAATGTCAAAAAATTTAATGGAACAAAAATTTATTGATGAGATTCAACTGAACGAACTTTGTTGTTTGTTTTCAGATTGACAGACTGTGGAAAGATCGTCTTGATCATCCTATAGTTAATGCTGAAATCACAAAATTTATGGATAAGAAATGGATGGTTAAAGAACAGACAGAAATTAATCAGAGTTGAATAGATGTTTCAGTGTAAATTCCAAGGATATTTCAGGCTTTCAAATTTGTGTACTTTATTTTTCAAACCCTGAAATTGCACTCTGATATCTAAACTAATAGAGCATGACTTGCAACATTATTGTAGAGGCACAATAAAAATATACAGGTATCTTTATAGCAAATATTTTCCTTTATTTAAAGTTCTATCAGCCAAAATACCTGTGCTGCTTTAATTTTAGCCTGTAGACAGGTTTTAATTGGTACGTGTAACAACTGATTACTCAATAACTGGGAGAGGATCATCATCTGGTCATCAGGAAAATGCTCCCAGTATATGCATCATAATCAATACTTTTTTAAACTCGTAATGGTTGTTCTTCAACTTCTATTTCCTCAAATGTTCCTAGTAGTTATGAAAAAACATTGTACACATGTTTGGTTATATTTAATTATGTTGTAAATTATGTTTTTCCTAAATAAGAACCTTTTGATTTATATAGTTACTGTAAGTTTTCATCACTGGGCATTTAGATGTCATTTTTGAGCTGTAAGCTGTCATTTCTCCATGGTCATACCAGAGCTGTTGTTTCTAATATTAGAAGACTAGTTTAGTTGACATAAACTGGAGAATTTCCTAATCAAAAATTGTTTTTTATGTGTCTTGTCCAGTTTAGAAAAACAAAAAACACACACACAAAAACAATTATTGTGTTTTTCTTTTTCTTTTTCTTTTTCTTTTTCTTTTTCTTTTTCTTTTTCTTTTTCTTTTTCTTTTTCTTTCTCGTTTTCTTTTTCTTTTTCTTTTCTTTTTTTTTGTTTTGTTTTGTTGCTGTTGTTTTTTTTTTCTGCTCTGATCTTTGTTGAGGGGGGAGGGGAAAGGTTGATTTAATTTTTAACTAGGTAATGAAAGTAAAATTCACCTAGTTTTAGAGGCTTTTTCAAACTTTATTGTTGGTGCTAAATGATAAGACACTAGTATGGTATATTGTGAATCTATGTTTTTATTGGCTGTACCATCATTTTCTACATGTGTGTTGATTAGTGATGGCAAATGCTAGCATACACCATTGTTTCAAGCCACGTCCCTTTTGAAGTATTTTGAATTGTACAAACCCACTTTCATTTTTACTTTGGGTATATAGAGATTTTGTCAATTCAGAGTAGTAGTTATCTATTCAATCCATTTAGAACATTTTTTGATGAGAGTATAATATGAATTTTTACAAAGGACCATGACCAGGACTCAAACACAAAAGTTTTGTACATGTCATTGGGTTTTGTAACTTTACCTCAGTTGGGGAGAGGTACTCCCCCAACACTGGGTGGAGATGTGAGGTGCACTTCTTAAAACTTTAGGAGTCCCAGCTGATATTACAAACTCTCTGTCTTCCGGTTATTGGAATTAATTGTCATGTTTTTCGGAAGTTGTATTCTCTCATCAAACATTTTTCTGCCTGGGAAGACATAGTCCAGTTCTGCCCCTCTCTGTCACCCAATGCTATGCTGTTGGGCAAGGTACCCTCTCTCCCAAGGGCACAGTGTTGAGTGACATAGAGAGGGCCTGAACTGGACTAGGGAGGACAATAATGAACCTTGACTAAAATACATACATTTTCTATTTCAAATCAAAGGGAATTGAGGAAAAACTTGAAAGTCTTCATAAGAAATTTTATTCCATTCTCTTACAATTTCTCTGTACAATTGCAGATGCTGGCCCATTTCTTAATTTACATAAGGTGTGCCCACACGTGAACACAGACTCTCCCTCTATTATCATGGTTTTCGAAATTCATCAAATCTTCACCATACCATATCCTGAGAGTGGCATACTTGTCAAGATAGAACGGTTGAGCGTAATCAGTAAATACCAACTGGTTAGATCTTCTGGCGTCCGTGAAAGGCAAGTAATACCACAGACCTGTGTTCATGACGTATTTCTCCGGGGGGTAAACCATGTTGTCATTGTCGTCTGTTACCACAACATTCAGAGGGTGTCTTTTGTTATCTGGATGTTGGTAGCAACCCCATCGGCTGTTATATTTGGGATCTTGAGCGCATCGCACAGAGCCATGGACGTAGACAAGTTTCATAGCACCAACTAGTTTTCCTTCTCCCATGTAGTTAAACATCCCTGGTCTTTTTCCAATTGCGTAGAAACAGACAGGATACTGGTTGATCTTGGCCCAAACGGCAAGTGGTTTATCTTTGGTTGCTGCATGAATAAATACAGGAAAAAGTTTTTGGGTTCGTAATGAAAACGCAAAAAGTAACTGAACACTATTTGCGGTGAGGTGTACTAAGAGCTGATCAGTTTAAATGTGTGGCAGGGACTGGCTGAGAGAAACCATGGGACCATTGAGCTGGAGAAATTGACTCCACAACGGCTACCTTAGGAACAGGAAAGTGGCAGGGGTGTAATAGGACATCCGTTTTTTTTCGGGGGTACAACATTTTTTTTTCAAAAATTTTGATTATGTTAGCAAAAGTAAATCAAAATGTACCACTGAAACAGAAACTTAACAGAGACAGAGATGAACAACGCGTGGTACAAATAAAGTTTGGTGACCTTTTACAATAAAAAGGGGGGTTTTGTATTCACTGTTCGTCATTCATTGATTAACTGGCCATTGTCGGGAGGTTATTTTGGCGCTTGGGACGAGTTTTAGTGGCTGTTGCCGTTGTCTTTGTAGAAATGTTAAGATGAGAGTAAATGAATGGACCGTCTGTTGGGACGTGAAAAAGTGGCCGTTTTAGGGAGGTGGCCGTTAGTGAAGGTTCGACTGTATATTTATTGATAAGGGATTATACCTCTCATATAAGTGACCATATCGGGAATTTTGGAACGCTGGTTGAAACTATAGAGCTTCTTGCCTACGAGAATACACTCTAACCCCTGCTTCTTTGGTGATCTTCATTCAAACCATAGTTAATAGAGGGAAATGGTTAGGAAGGCCGGTAAACATCAAAAAACAAACAAAAAGGCTAAGATTTATGTTGGAAGGTCCTTGACCCTGCACATCTTTTGTTTCATGCTCCTTGACTATGCATGAATTACATAACCGCAATGCTTCTATTGGTTAGTTGTATGAGCACACATAACCACCTTTTGTATTTCGCCAGGTTTTGTGCAGGGTCGACCACCAAAATATCCAACAAAAAAATACAACAAAGAACTTTGCCAGGTTTCCTAACCATTTTCCTCTATTAACTATGTCCAAACCAAATATAGTTCATTCATAGAAAATGCTGTGGAATCCTATTTACCTTCATTTTGATGTTCCGGTTATTGCAGATTTAGACTTATTAGAATTATCTACAGGGGGGATCCAGGATCTTTTTTAGGAAGGGGTGCACCACTAAGGAATGGCGTGACTGGCTGGTAAGATAAACAAATTTTAAAAGCGAATAGGCCGGAAGAAGGCTTTATCTCAGAGGGGGCGGGGGGAACGTGCGCACCTCTGCACCCTCCCCATAGATCCGCCCCTGATCTATGTAGCGAAAGTGGACGTAGGTCATCTATAAATTTTAGCGCTGTTGACTGACTGCCAGACGCGCGGTGTCAGTGATTCCGCCTGTCGAGTAGTTTCGGTTGATCCCCTGGTAGGGGTAATTGTGGCTAAATTTACAATGGATTAGCATCCCGTGCAGGGGGAGTAAGAAAACTCCTAGTCGCTTTATGCTGCAGAACCTAGTAGTCGGGATAAGCTCCAGTGGAATGGATCATTTGGCCTTTAACAGACTTTACTTTTTACCTGACTGTTTCAATCACCCTTTCATGAGTGATGGATTACGAGAGCTTAAAACCAATCCACTTTGAAAATCCCAGTTACGGTTTCACATGCACATTTGAGGTGTTAACAACTTCTTTGATTCGCTGGGTTGTACAGTTACTATGAAGGGATCGAATTGCGCATGACCAGATAGACCGTAAAACAGACAGAGTGTTCAGTTCCAACGTGAGTCCCTTCCCGTGAGTGAGGTCTGGAACTAACGTGATCTGTGAGTCAAGAGATCTCGGTAGGAATTAAAAAAGAACCTGTTGTGCAATTCAGATCTAAGACTATGGTTCGCGTGAAAGTTAGCTCAGTCCTTCCTTCATAAATTGACCCGTAAGATTAGAGGAAGTGCATGTCGTTTCAGAGATGAAAGTACTTCTCTTGTTCTGTAACAAACACTGATTAAAAAGAAAAATGGGTCTGCCAAGCCAAGACAAAGCGAATGTTACAAAAAGGAGGAAAGGACGCTGAAGCAGTAAAAATTCGCGACTGGAGAAAAAGTTAATTCAAATAATTCGGATTTCAGTTGTTATTTATGTTGTTCTAACTCATTGTTACCGTTGTTTCAAGGACGTCTAACTGAAGTAAAAATTGGAACAAGGAAGCAGGCTTAGTGGTTTGATAATGGCAATGTACTCGGGATCGAGTGTCTGAGTTTGAGCATAGCATGGCCTAAGCAGTTGGATTGTGTTCTTAGGCAACACCCAAATCCTCACTCCACCCAGGTGTTTAGTGGGTACTGGCAAATTTATTGCCAGTTAACCCTGCTATCTACGATTACTATAACATCCGATTCCCGGGGGTGGGAAGACAGGAGTACCACTGCTGCAGAAACTGTGATGAGCTTCTTTATCTCTTTACTTTGAGCATATACATGTAATAGAGATTGTAACGGACGCATAATTCAGCAGTTATTTTGCACCTTTACATTTTTCAAACAGTTACACATCGTGGATCAAGTCCTATGGGTTCTAAACTTTAGATGCTTTGTTTTTTATCCATTTTTCAAGTCATTGAAGATGGGCATAGACATCAACACACACCCTGCCACTGTTATCAGCGTTGTTCCAGTTTTTCAGATCCTCGCCAAACCAGATTTTCACCTCAGCACCTTTTGAGAGGTACACAGGGTTTTCATAGTTGGTGAACACAAGTTCATCGGAGTGCAGAGCGTCAGTGAAAGGAAGATAGTACCAAAGGCCACCGTTTTTGATGTATTTTTCATCTGGGAAGATAATTTGATCGCTTCCATCCGTCACCACAACATTCAATGGATGTTTTATGTAGCTTGGATGGTGATAACAACCCCAGTGACTGTTGAAAGCGGTGTTCCCCACGCAGCGTACGGATCCGCTGCGCCAAACAAGTTTCATCGCAGCGAGTAGCTTTCCGTCGCCAAGATAGTAAAATGTTCCAGGTCTCTTTCCTCGAGCATGGAAGCATACCTGACCTAAGTTGATCTGCTGCCATATCTGTTGGCCTGGGTTTGAGGAAAAATAGATTCCATTTAGACATGGGTCACAGGCCATATTAAGAAAGGACAAAAGTCAGGGCCATGCAGTCAAGGAAATTTCTTCATAGAATAATACCTGTACTTTATGTTCATGCACCGAGCAACATGCCATTTTGGAAGTGGGAATTTTAGCTGCGGTCTAGACTTGTCACAAGTCGACCTTCCTTCTCTTGATAAAGGACTTTTAGAAAGTTTAGACCGGGCTCGAGCAGTGAAAGAAATGTGCCCATGGAATGTAGTATCGCCTGTACAATATGTACGTGCGTGATGCATACAAGGAGCATGCAATTTTTCTCAGCCGGCCACCCCAGCTGATATTAAAGAATGGCCAGAATAATACATGCTTGTATTCTGCACAATGCTATCAAAAGACGTTTCTCTTGGCAGAAATACCTGCGCTGTGAGCACAAAATGTATCAATAGGTCAGTATTAATAAGTGATGGAGAACATGGTCTATATACATTGGAGGAATTTTGTACACTTCTAGATCTTATAGCCAATAGTTGAATTGATGTGGACACTCAGTTGCATGCATCTAGCAATATACCACCAGTGGCGGATCTAGGGGAGGGGCCCAGGGAGCCCCCCCCTTTTATGTTGGGTAAAAAAAGAAGGAAGAAGGAAGGAAGAAAAGGCAAAAAACAAACCCGCACCCCGCCCCTCCGCCTTAGCTCAAGGTCTGGATCCACCACTGCACCTTATGAATGCATGCGCAACAACCCGTAAGGGTGCCATAATCGACTTGTCTTGTTATTTTGAATTTGGTCACATCAGTTCCATGACATGCACACATCGTCGCAATGTAAATAATTCAAAACTGATAAATGTGTCGATATGTGAAGCTTTAAAACAAGCTTGCTAGCTTCGTAATCGGCTGGCAAGGAGAAACTGAGCTGACCAAAATAGTGAAAACTGAGCCAAAAAACGATTTATTATCTACGATTGTCGGTTCCAAGAAAATACAACCTCTAAAACGGTAGCGACCAAAGATTCTTGAAACAAGGAAAGGGGCCCTGTCGGAGAGAGATGAAAGTCAAACAAAAGCATGCTAGAAATTTAGATTGTTCAAGAACCTTTTTCGTAGTTAACGAAGTTAGCCGGATTCCAACCAAATCCTTGACAATTGCAAGTTTCGAACTAGGAGGTTTGTTGAAAGGAAGCGAGTCCCGCTGCAGAACATCAGGGCGCATTTAGAATCAGAGGTCATACCATGTTATCATATGAATCGCTCATGTCTGTTAATTAAGTAATCCAGTTTTAAGACTGTTTAAGTTAGTCCCATTTGAAGCTGCATGCAGTCATTGTAACGGGAAAAAAATATGGACTTGCAGCATAGTCCGCCCTGAGGCCAAAGTGAACCTTGATGACACAGTTTTCTTAGCATAAAGGGACTACGAGTATAATCAAGGAAGAGTTTTACAATTATAAGAGAACGATTCACCATACATATTCATGTGCCTCTTCAAATACTGACTGAGCCTGATGACCACATATCGTGACCGTCTCTCTTTCGCTAGTTGTTTCAAGGTAAAGTCGCTGAATACGCAAAAAATCGGAAATTTTTCACGAGTTACGAGGACACCGTGAACACGTCAGTAATACTGAATACAAGTTCCACAAGTTACGAAACTAATGATGGGTTTAAGAAATTTATCATTGAGCAGTGAGAATCTTTCTTATAGATTATTCTGTCTTGGAGTGTTCCAGCTCCTCATGGACAAGGTTCTAGTGCAACAGGTTGATTTACCGGCATTCATACTTTTGTTGAAAAAGGCATCATGTAAGAGTGCCTTGAAACAGAGTTCTACAAACTTGACATGGGTAAGCGCAGTTAAGCTGTACTAACACGCCTACCACAGCGTAAGCATGTTAGTACAGCTATACCCTTGGCTCTTCATGCATTTATTCAGTTTTGTAGGCTACACGTGACTCCTCCATTTCTATGGATACAGGACGCAGTTCATACAACCAAGAGAGAAAACATGCATGCTCTGAAGTCAGTCCATCGCTAAATTCTGTTGCTGGCATTCTGAGAATGCCTCAAACTTGAAACAGTCCAAATGTGGAACACTGCTGTAGTCTTACCAAATAATCTAGGTTTTTAAGCCAGTTAGTAAGTAACCCTACACATGTGTCAAAAATAAAGGCCAATGTAAGGGAAGAATACTTATGGTAATTGATTTCCCACCAATTCTAACTATCGTGCTTTTTCATTTCTTTGCGTTTCATTTTTTTCGTTTCTTTCATTTCTTTTTCGTTTCTTCCACTTGAAGATTACATTGAATGTTACTATTGAAAATGTCCAGGAACTTACGAGCTCTTTTGTAACGACTGCATGACCGCCAGAATTTATTAAAACAGCAGTACTTAAAAATCAAATATTTTAGAAGGTGATGGCGACTGAATCAATCATGTCATGACCATGTCATGTGTAATAATCGACAGACGAACACAATACATCGAATTTTCTTAATATTTTTAATTATGCGATCTTGGCTCAACATTATTCTTTGTAGAAATACCAAATTTGACCGCTGATTGGGTGAAGATCCTTCTTAAACAATGAAAAGTAATAACAGAGCTACTCGAAAGATTCAAAGTGCCTTCCTGACTCATTTAGCTGTTTATACCACAAACCAAAGCTGTACAAACAACAAGGACAAACTTCAATATCTTGTGTAAGTTGATGTTGTTATTGCTTCGCAACAGATCCTGCTAACAACGCTTTGATGTTCTATTCGTTAAATATTGAGTCGCGTTGCCGCCGGAAAAAGGAGGAGAACTTAAATGAAGCACTTGTAAAGTTCATAAAGTATACACACAATAAACGGTTTTAAAAGGAAATAGGTCTCAAACCGTTAACGCTAAATGTTTCTGTCTTTTTTGTGTCAAAATTGAATGAGTCTTTGTATGTATAAGATAATGGGGGCGAATTTTTCTTCGACTGAATGTTTTTGCTTCACAGCTCTAATTTTGCCCCGTTTATCCTAAAAGCTGATACTTTGCGTGAAAAGGAGAGCCCTTATTATCGTGTGTTCAATAGAAGGTCATAAAAGGCAATTGTCAGACAAAACGAAGCGAAAACAAGTGATAAGGGACTCCATATTCGATATGTGAGCTCTTTCTTAGTTTTCGCTCTAATTCTCCTTACGGCAAAAAAAAAGATCATATTGGATTGTATCCGCCAACATAGATTGCACTCTAACTAAAGACATGATATCCTAAACCTACCTAACAAAGTTACATGATTTCAATAAAACCGCGTGTTTGCGTAACAACAACAGCTAGCCTTCTTGTCTTATTTCACAGCCTTTTGATAAAAAAGAGACTTACATAAGGTATGGAGGAAAAAGGTTTTCTCCCCCAACCAAGAGATGATATACCGGATGTGGGATAGGTCCGGACTAGTGTTTCAACTTTTGCTGCTTCATGAAGACTCGCGGCAAAAATTATTTTTGGGCTTTAAGTGTAATCACTTTTTCCCACAGATTAAATTAACGTGATCGACAGAAAAAAAAATTGTAACCCGCATCAATCTTCTATTCTGACATAGCTTTTTAGCATATCTTCTGCGTTTCTCTTAGAATGTAAAAGGGTCGCCTAAGACACAGTAGGGATGAAGTAAATTATGTTCAAGAGAACACTTACCGTTGCCTTGCTCTGGAAGAACAATAACCATAGCACATACTGTGGCTACCAACGCTGTTACGAACATTCCCATGACTTCGAAAGGACGTTTTATCAGGACTGGTAGCCAGACCACGACAATGATATAAACTGCTTCGGCGAGAAAATCCTTTTGTTTTAAATGTGATAAAGTGATCACGTGGCCCTCAAATGGCGTCACTTTCCGCGCGCAGATAAGAGTAAATATTTTCCGTTTGCCCGAAGTGTAATTTCCTTTGTTTATTTAAAAATTTGCTGCTTTCATTTTTATGATCGAAATGAACGCAATGTGTATTACTCTTTATGTCAATAACCTTCGTTCAACAATGGTTTTTACTGATGAATTGCCCGAAGAAGTTGGATCCGGGGAATTTTCAAGGGTTAAGGCGTCAAGGGTCTAACGACAAATTTTAAACAATGAACAACAAACGAATTTTAACCACCAAAAGAAGTGTGTGTCAGGTGCAACAAAGATAAAAACATATATAACCGATAAATGATAGTAAGATTTTTCCTTCTCAGCTCAAGCTGTCGAATTGATGACAATGAAACACCGAAACAACAACGGAAGCGACAGCGTGGCCGAGTGCTTAGGGCGCCGGACTTGAAATCGGGAGGTCGCGCGATCAAATCCCGTTCTGATTACTTAGCTAGCCAACTGGTCGCCTCCCGCCATTTGGGATTTTTAAACCTACTATGGTTATTTGACATATTTTTTCCTTTCAGTTTAAGGGGCATGCCTGAGAACTAACAAGTTGTAGGGAAGCGCATTGACCACTATAAACATTCAACAACAACAACAACTAACTAGCCACTAACCTTGGGAGGCGCGGTGGCCTCATGGTTAGTGCGCTCGTCTCCGGATCGAGCGGTCGGGTTCGAGCCCTGCGTTGTGTTCTTGGGCAAGACACTTTACTATCACGGTGCCTCTCTCTGCCCAGGTGTGTAAATGGGTACCGACAAACTTAATGCTGGGGGTAACCCTGCTATGGACTAGCATCCCATCCAGGGGGGAGTAGAAATACTCCTAGTCGCTTCATGCTACAGAAACCGGGATAAGCTCCGGCCTGGTGGGCCACTTGGTCCGCATGCAGACTTTACTTTTTCACTTTACTTGGTTTCCGACCCTAAATTAAGTACAACTTTGAAAGGTGATTATTACATTAAGTTAAGTCTGCTCCCAGCCACAACTAATTAGCTGAGAATTTTCAGAAGATTTGGGAGAAAGCCCGGCCTTCATTTTACGTCGAATGCATCTCTCCCAACTTGAACTTTGCGCTCGTATGTCGAGCAGCGCGGTGTACCGTAAAAACTATATTCCAAATGCTATCGTAATTGGCTCAACCAAAGCAATGGTAGTTTTAACTAGTTTGTCTGTTTTTTCTTAGCCAAATTAGAGGTCGTGTCAACAAAATAGAAGCAGTTTATTGTAAGCCTATGGTAAATTTTTGAGCCGCCCTAAAAACATCATTTGTGAATGAACGAACGAACAAAATAAGGAACGAACGAACGAACGAACGAACGAACGAACGAATGAATGAAACTACTTTGGAGCAAAAGCCTTTTTTCGCCCACTGGAATGACGTCAGTGAGAGTTTTCCGCAAACGCATGTGCAATGAGCAATTAGCAACGGCAAATTCAAAGAAATTACTTGCGGAAAGCGTGATTTTAGACTGAAACCATTGCGTCATTATAAAATTCATAGCCAATTACAATGTCGCTAGAACAGGAAAGCTTTATCGATCAGAGGACTGTATTACTCTCGATACAGGCTATTTGGCAAAACAATTATGGCTAGCACGAATTCTTGTTTGCCTGAGACTGTTCCTTTGTTAACTTTCCATTTCAGAACTCGACAAGCGACCATAGCGGACGCGCCTGCCATTGCAAAAATGATAAAGGTAACGTTTCTTGTCACTTTCTGTTTCCTCAGGAAAAAAAAAACATCGAATTGAGGAAAAATGCCTGAGCATCTTAAGTGTTGTTGATGTTTTACGTTAATCAAGAAAATTCTGTATTTACTTGTGTACTTCAATTTATCTTGACAACTAACTTTAATCAGTAACCTTTTGCTCGGCTGAGCGCTTTGTGAACTTCATATTATTCGAAACTAAACTCTAATTACTCTGATATTTTAAATTCAGTTTACTCGTTTACGTAATTAGGATTTTTCTTTCCATTAACGGCAGCGACGGAAAGAAAACTAAGACAAAAATGTCGAAAGTCGAGTACAGATCGCGTGGCCATCATTACGACTTTCGTTCGACATCAACTTTCGTTTTTTCCCGAGCTTTTCTCGGTACCGACTATTCCATTTCCTAAAAGAACTCTTTGTCTCCTTGTGTCAGCGTCAGCTGTTAATCCTCCGGAATATCAAAACATATCATTTTCTTCTCTGCGTATCTGACCTGCATACGGGTCTATATTTCAATTGTATTACATTTTATAAATCACCATTCTACCGGTTAACCGAATAACTAGTGTGATTTACTTAGCTTGCTAGCAGGCTCGCGTTTGGGTCACTGTGTAGCCTTTTTGTTTCCATACCGTTACATTGAACTATAATTATTCCCTAAGAATGACATGATCACTGATAAAGAAAAGTAGTTTCACCTCAAATTCAGACTGGCATACTGATTTGAATAAGAACATGCAGTGAATGGAATTTAGAGGATTGCGACGCAAATTTTAAGTCAAGTTAAAGACTCAATAATTCAGCAGTATTGAAATCAAAACAGGAAAAATATGGACGTAGCAAGCTATTCGACACATAATAATTATCTGTATTAGTGATTTTGGCACGCAAAACGCATTTGTGATATATACATTTCTGGACAGGCCAGGCGAGATCTCGCTTCCACTCTATTATAGAGGGCCGCACATTCCGCAAACCGCCATTTTGTGCTCCCTCGAAACCGCATACCGCCTTCGTTTTCTTCTAAAATGACGATTATCAACATTAAACCGATCTGTTAGTTTTCACAGTACGTAACAAATTTTTTACGATACGCTAGCTCAATATTAATTGTATTTCTCCTCGCAAAAAATGCAAGGTCTTTGAACAGAACAAATTATTTCTAACTCCCGTCAGTAATTAACCAGCGAACAAAAAGGTTTGAGTCTAATAGGCTGTTCAGAAACACAAAGATTGCTCGAGATGTTTATAACGAAACATAAAGGTGCAAGTTTTGTACGCTAGATGTGTTGTCTGTTCTTGCGCGATTTTACGGACAAAACAAGCTTGTGAAATTTATATTACCTTTATCATGGAGTGGTCTCAGCCCAGGACAGAGGCTTTGTGATATGTGCCAGGGGGGTTTGACACGCCGATCCAGCAGTCTGAATTGGAGACCATTGGATGCTATTTTTGTGTCCAGGCCTCACAATACTTACCTCAGTAATGCTGTGATGAAGGTCGCTATTTTCAAGTATTATCCTCACGCCACAAAAGCACGGAAAAACCGAAACCGCGTACTATATTTATGATTTCCCGCAACCGCGGGATAATTTCGTAACCGTAAACCGCCAGATAAATATGAACGTACCCGCAAACCGGCATTCAAAATTTGCTTAAACCACCAAACCGCCAGAGTATAGTAGACCCTCTAAATTGTCAAGCATGATCAACGGCTAAAAACAACTTATTTATCTTTATATTATCCACTGATGGTTTGTCGTTATAACCAATGAAAAAAAAAAAAACAGATTTGGACGAAAAAATAGTAGACGACAATCTTCATCAATGTCTTCAGTATAGAATAAATTCGAAGTCAACGTAACGCTAATCCAAGATTGGCTTAGTCCTGCGTTTTCAACAAAGATTCTGATATGGCAGCCAGTCATGCTCTGTGCGAGTTTTGACCAGAACAAAACAGCACTTTGATAATTATCATTGACATGTCTAACTAAAATGAAAAGAAAGATCCACAGTTTTTTTATGTTTTCTGCATGGGTGTTATATGATTAAAGGAGACAAAGTAAATTAACTTTGAAAACTGTTCAGCGTCGGTAACAGTTGTTCACAAACGCAAATCACAATCCGTTTTAATCTTCTTTAGTTTTTGTCAATCGGTACCTTCTTTTGTATGTGTTGTGTTATTGAAATGATCCTTCATTGTTTTAGTGCTTACTTTTTCACTCGATTTTCTGGTCATGTCTTAATTTGGCTAAAATTCGAGACCCAGTTCCTCTAAGTCTTGCCAATTTATAGTCGAGTTAGTTTGAGAATGCTTTACGTCATTTACTTTCCAGAGCCTTGCAGAGTACTTAGGAAAACCTGAAAAACTTAAGATTGGAGAAAAAGGTACAGTAAAACCTCTGTAGGAATTCACTATATATAGTTATGACAGAGACACAACGTACGACTCTGGTAATAGAATTATCAATTTATCCTTCCCCTCTTCAAAATATGTAGCATAACAATAAAAACTATTGTTTGCTGAGAAGGGTGTTTGACAAGGAATCAACAATTCTCTAATTTTGGATAAACTTTGGCTATGTGGCTGGCCATTTCAATTCAATGTTAATTACAAGCAAATGAAGGAAGCCCTACACAGCAAAGGCGAGGGCAAAAATCCGCATCTAATAGTCAAACATGTATGTGGCTAGGATAAGGGTGGGGTGAGTGGGTAAAACAAAGTAGGAGACCATCCGAGTCAAAAACCACATGGGATGGATAGACCACCCAGAGGGTTCGTAGAACGTTCAAATACGTTGCACCCCCTATTGGAATACCCTAGCCAGCATAACTAGTTAAGTTTAAATGTTAACCGAGGGACAGCAAAAAATTTTTATTGTGTGGACAAGAATTTTTTTCTCAAATACAGTATTGGACTACCATAGTTAAAGTCCGTGTGTAACAAACTGCTGGCCGAAATTTGACATTTTAATACCCAAAAATAAAAGAACCTGTTTAGCCAAGTAAGATCAAGCAGGTTCTTGTGTGACGGTGAGTTGCAGTGAAACCATGACAAACATTTTATCCAAGGAGTGTGACTTTTTTGTCCGTGTATTGTTAAGTCGGTCTGTTAGAAGTCCGTTTGACGGTTTCGTTTCCATCATGGATAACTCGTTTGTAAGGCGCCGGTAGTTGTTGACATCTGTTAAGAGGCGTTTGTTCTAGGTTAGTGTACCAGCTTTCCAGAGTCAGTCGTTGAAAATAGTTT